ATGTGAATATGACTGAAAAAATTCATTTTTTCTGAAAAGGTGGCGTCTACTTACTTGTGACCACGCTGTGTATATATATATATATATATATTTAATGCCTGGTTAACTTAGAATCTTTCTAATTTCACTTTAGTACTCCATTCAGTAAAAGAACGAAGTATATGATGTACGTCTAGGACTGAGTTAACATAAATAAGTACTGGAATATGCAACAGGTAAGTTAACATTATGTAACATACTTGATACAACTACTTCCAGAACACCTTTTACTATATGTAACAAAAACATAGTTTTAATAGGTGTATTTTCATACGTATTAAGGTCTATAATTTCTCGCTCTAACGGTGTTTCCATATGATGGATGTATGGATTGTTAATACTTGATTTAAAAACAATAACATTTTTAGGAGTAGCTCGCCTTTCGTGAAAGAAGTATCAAATTCAATCCCGGAATTGACAAATGCATGGCACTCAAGTTTCAATATTTTTGGGCTGGCAGATAAATCTTTTAACGAGTTTTGAAATAACTCACTTTAATGCTGTCATATTCCATTTGTAGTCGTGTGTTGATAGACCTTAATTCTCGGCTCTGTGTTTCCATTTGTTCAAGTTGGGCCTCGAGTTCAGCTTCCAGCTCTCGACTACTTTCCTGGAACTCTTCTAATTCCTGCTGGTTCTCTTGCCATCTAAAGTACGTTTCAGTTATTGCATATACGAATTTATACACTATGTTTTTATAATTAATCTTCTATATACTTTGGAACAAAATACAGAACAGGGCTAATAAAATATAGGTTAAATAATTATCATTTATAGGCTGAGAAAGAAAATCACATTAAAGAACATTTGTCATTATGTTTACATTAAAAAAAATCTTAATTGTTTTCTTTTGTCACTGCAAACCTCCATGACTAAAACAAACAAACACTAAATGTACATTAACTGTGACATAGCATAACGACAACCTTTCAGTATGAAAATTATACTTACAACATTAAAATACCGTGAATTGGCTCAAAATGCCTGATTGTTCAGACGCAACATCTAGACTAGGGGTGCAAAATGAGGGTCCAGGGGTGCGCGGAAGAGGCCTTTACAAGGACCGTTTTTCCCAAATGTCGCCAAGAGGAAATTAATGCACACTTTTTATGGGAGAGGTGCGAGGGCCACAAAAGTTTGGGAACCATTGATCTAGACTCAATTCCTATACTTCAAAACCATTTCGATATTTAAATTTGCTTTTTTCTTAGGCCAGTTCGATGATTCGACCTACTTCTTTCTGAGGTCAGTACGACATTTTGCCATGGTCGCTAGACACGAGAAAACTAACGACTGCAAATTCACACGTCGCGCGTAAACCATCCAACTGAAATCCAGTTGTTAAAGATTTCCCTGCATAATAAAGGTAGGGGTACCGTCTGGATCATGACCCATCACCTGATTAAACCAAAGTTTACAATAGACCAATTACTGCCTCTTTACTCTGAAGAATGTTCTTGCTTTTCCAGTCCAGGGTCTGCATTCTTCAAAATGCACCATGTCAGTGTATTACATGGCTAATATAAACACACATAGCAATGTAATTCACTCCACTTGATGAAGTCTAGTAGCAAGATAAAGATATCATCTGATAAAGAAGTGTAATCTATTTCGCTTGATGAAATCTGATGGTAAGATAGACTTTGTTGACAGCAACCTACAACAAAGTGAAACCTACTTCGCTAGATGGAATCTAGTGGTAAGATAAAGACTGTTTACAGCAACCTACAACAAAGTGAAACCTACTTCGCTAGATGGAATCTAGTGGTAAGATAAAGACTGTTTACAGCAACCTACAACAAAGTAACCTACTTCGCTAAATGGAACCTGTTGGTGAGATAAAAGCTAGATGAAACCTGTTGGTGAGAGAAGTCTTTGTTGACAGCAACCTACAACAAAGTGAAACCTACTTCGCTAGATGGAATCTAGTGGTAAGATAGACTGTTTACAGCAACCTACAACAAAGTGAAACCTACTTCGCTAGATGGAATCTAGTGGTAAGATAAAGACTGTTTACAGCAACCTACAACAAAGTGAAACCTACTCTGCTTAATGAAATCTGGTGGTGAGAAAAAGCTTTGTTGACAGCAACCTACAACGAAGTGAAACATGTTGGTGAGAGAAGTCTTTGTTGACAGCAACCTACAATAAAGTGAAGCCTACTTCGCTTAATGAAATCTGGTGGTGAGATAAATCTTTGTTGACAGCAACCTACAACGAAGTGAAACCCACTTCACTAGATGAAACCTGTTGGTGAGATAAAGCTTTGTTGACAGCAACCTACAACGAAGTGAAACTCACTTCACTAGATGAAACCTGTTGGTGAGATAAAGCTTTGTTGACAGCAACCTACAACGAAGTGAAACCTACTACACTAGATGAAACCTGTTGGTGAGAGAAGTCTTTGTTGACAGCAGCCTACAACGAAGTGAAACCTGTTGGTGAGAGAAGTCTTTGTTGACAGCAACCTACAACGAAGTGAAACCTACTTCACTAGATGAAACCTGTTGGTGAGAGAAGTCTTTGTTGACAGCAACCTACAACAAAGTGAAGCCTACTCTGCTTAATGAAATATGGTGGTGAGATAAAGCTTTGTTGACAGCAACCTACAACGAAGTGAAACCTGTTGGTGAGATAAAGCTTTGTTGACAGCAACCTACAACGAAGTAAAACCTGTTGGTGAGATAAAGCTTTGTTGACAGCAACCTACAACGAAGTGAAACCTGTTGGTGAGAGAAGTCTTTGTTGACAGCAGCCTACAACGAAGGGTCGTTGAAATACTTTTATGTTCTGTTCCTACTGGAAACCCGCACAGGTAATTTAAGTACAAAATATCAACTAATTCGCAGACTTGTTAGAATGTTTCATTAAACTCTATCAAAATCGGATTTGTTGCTTACTCGTCGTACACGTTGTTTATTACACATACAAAATAAACAACGTAAAGCTGGTACTGGACACGCGTCGATACTGAAACCATACATTACAGTAGCTGACATGGATGATGTAAAGCTGTTACTGTACAAGCCTCGATATTGAAACCGAACATTACAGTACCTGACATGGATAACGTAAAGCTGTTACCGGACACGCGTCAATACTGAAACCATACATTACAGTAGCTGACATGGATGATGTAAAGCTGTTACCGGACACGCATCGATACCGAAATCAAACATTACTGTAGCTAAGATAGATGACGTAAAGCTGTTACCGGACACGCATCGCTACTGAAACCGAACATAACAGTAGCCGACATAGATGACGTAAAGCTGATACTGGACACGCGTCGATACTGAAACCATACATTACAGTAGCTGACATGGATGATGTAAAGCTGTTACCGGACACGCATCGATACCGAAATCAAACATTACTGTAGCTAAGATAGATGACGTAAAGCTGTTACCGGACACGCATCTCTACTGAAATCGAACATTACACTAGCTGACATGGATGATGTAAAGCTGTTACTGGACACGCATCACTACTGAAACTGAACATTACAGTAGCTGACATAGATGACGCAAAGCTGTTACTGGACACGCATCACTACTGAAACCGAACATTACAGTAGCTGACATAGATGACGTAAAGCTGTTACCGGACACGCGTCGATACTGAAACCGAACATTACAGTAGCTGACATAGATGACGCAAAGCTGTTACCGGACACGCATCGCTACTGAAACCGAACATTACATTAGCTGACATGGATGATGTAAAGCTGTTACCGGACACGCATCACTACTGAAACTGAACATTACAGTAGCCGAAATAGATGACGTAAAACTGATACTGGACCGAAACCATACATTACAGTAGCTAACACATAAATGATGTAAAGCTGACATTTACGGCTGCTTCGATAATGAAATCAAACACTTTAGTAATTAAAGTGTATGGCATAAAGGTGACATTTTTCGCATTTATCGATAATGATTGGTTTGGATTGTTTTGAATTTCACGCAAACCTACACCAGGGTTATCTGCGCTAGCCGTCCCTAATTTAGCAGTGTAAAACTAGAGGGAAGGTAGCTAGTTATTACCACCCACCGCCAACTCTTGGGCTACTCTTTTACCAACGAATAGTGGGATTGACCGGACATTATAACGCCACCACGGCTGAAAGGGTGAGCATATTTGGTGGGATGGTGATTCGAACCAGCGACCCTCAGATTGCGAGCCGAGCGCCCTAACCACCTGGCCATGCCGGGCCCTCGATAATGAAACAAAGCATTAAACGAATTAAGAACAACTTACGTAACTCTGACAAATATGTTTCGATACACAAATCAGCAAAACCTAAAGCCTTTTCATTAAAATCTACAATCACTAAACCTTTACCTTGAAAAACAGCTGATATTACAAGTACACACTACATATCAACATTAATATTTTTAACGTTTGTCCTAACACCTAAATTCAGGAATTTTTCAGATCTAAACTTTGTTTTGTTTTTAAATAAACAGATAACGCACTGTTTAATGTTGTTGCTGTCAGTATTAAACAAGACTTCAAACATTTCAGAAAGTGATTAAAACGTATTTGACACACACACACAAAATTACTTGTAGTTTCAGTCTAACATTGCCGATGGAAGGAAAACACATCCAAAATGATAAGAATGCAAATAATACAATTTATAATCCAGCTTACTTTTTCTTGTATTCCGAAGCTAAACTCTTGAAATATCGAATTTCTTCTTCTGTTGATTCGAAAGTCGGAATGTCTTCGTTCATTGTTAATCAGCCGGTGTTACGGTTTCTTATTGGTTGTAATAATTTATTGTTCTGAGAGTTACTGATTTTATAACTATAAAAAGCAAGTCACAGGAACTATTTTGTTAACTTTCAGATTATCATTAGATCTAACATCGTATAACGTATGACAATGGTTAATATTATCATTAGGTTTTATATATACTACAAATAAAATATTATAGGTTGTCTGTTGTATCGAAAACGAAACGTCGTGTCAGATACTGTGGCTCTGGACGATTTCTCGGAGATCTCGAAACGTTGATAACACAGAACTGGTCGACTGTTTGTAAAAAAAACAGGATTTGTTCGGCAGGTGTCGTTCCTGGTTCTGTAGGTAAAACAGCAAGGTAAACTTATGACAGTAAACATTGATTACAGTGAGGGTAAGTACCTGCTTTCTAGGTACAAGCTACGAAACACACAAGAAAAACTGGGCCGGCCGATCACCTTGGACTCATCATTTAACGTGGTTAATGGCCTCATGAGGACTACTGTATAATTACAATGTCAAACTGTATACTTTAAAATTAACCCATTTCACAAATATTAAATTACGAAGTCAATTTTCATAATTTAAGATATAAAATAAAGAAAATAGTCTATACTCATCATTCAACGTGGTTAATGGCCTCATGAGAACTACTGTATAATTACAATGTCAAGCTGTATACTTTAAAATTAACCCATTTCACAAATATTAAATTACGAAGTCAATTTTCATAATTTAAGACATAAAATAAAGATAAAATGATTCATTATTTCAAAAACAACTTGAATCACAGCAATAGCTTTTGTTTCTCTTCCACACACACACAACAAAAAAAAGTCACAAAATTGATTTTGATCCTTTTATATCTAGTTTATGTAACCTATTTATTAAAACACCTCATTATAAACTATTAAAATAAATGTAACCGATAAAACCAGCACAGTGTAAAAAGCAGTATAAACTGTTTAACTTTTTAATCATTGTCAAATACTTAATAGAATTTCAGCATATAACATTGCTAGAAATATGGTTTATACAAACAGTGCTTCATCAAGTAACCAAATTACATTTAAAAGATATTTTATAAATCTCAACAGATGATTTAATCACGCATTTTAATAGTATACAGAGGGTTGAGTATGCTATATTAAAACTGTTCTGAACATACAAATCAGCAAGTTGTGACAACCACAGCTGATATAAAGTCACAGTGGAATGGTGTGTATCAGAACTGAATTTTGAAAATTGGTAACTTCCAAGAAAGGTATACAAGCCCATTTCAATGCAAACTATTCACACACCCAGAGATTTTGACTATTTCCAAGGTAAGGAAATCCTTTATACTTAATAATTGGAATATGAATCAGCTTGGGACCAGGACCATCCAAAAAACAAACAAAAAAGATATGTAGCAAGCCATACTCCTACTATGGTAAGCAAAGTGCAGCATCTTTTAACAGGTGAGATTCCATTAACAAAAAAGTTCAGTGACAAATTGTCCATGCATCCCAAGATGCAGTATGTAACAAAATGATCTCTATCTGGGAAAAGAAACAAGTCATATCTATACAAGTTGCTTCCATGACATATCCATTCAACTGTTGCATACCCCAAACATCTGGAAAATTAAGTAGTTATTCAATATGAAGACATGATGATCAATTCACCAGACACAGTGCTAATAGATTTCTGGACAATCAGACTGGGTGTGCTTTGGATGTGAAAGCAATTATATGATGGAGCCTTTTGCAATGGAATCTACACTGCAGGGCTATGGTCAAGATGCACACACATCAGAGAGGACATGTCTGGACATGGACTGTAATGATGTGGCAAGGTTTCAAAATCATTTTCATTATTTACTCAACCTCAATAATTTAATTAACCTTGGTAGACTCAACAGTACTAGCAGGTTCAGTTATTATATTTTCCATAGTAAGATACTTGACTAAAAGGGTGATACTAATCATAGTTCAAATTTGGTTTTACAATATTTAATCTTATCTTAAGAATTAAAAAGGATAAAATAAAGCAATTGCCTTTGATTCCGAGTATAAACAAAGAGTATATCATCTGAATTTTTTTTATCAAGTGATAAAGGTTTCTGATAAGAATAGAATTAGAAACAAGACAGAATTACAATCAGAGCTTAGACTTTGTGTTTAGATGTTACATTCATTTCAACAACACAAAATATTAACAAAGATTCTTGTATAAAATTCAAGTGACAGTAGTCTATACTTCTATCACTTACAGGTAACAATATAGACAGGTAAGATTACAATCACCAATAATATTTAAAAAGAAACAGGTTGACATTAAGCCTATTGAGGTCATCTCTAACCTACCAAAATGCCAGTCTTACTTTTTGTAACCTATCAAATTAACATCATCTGTAGTATGGACTTTCAGTACACAACTAGATATGATGCTTTTGTCAGGTGAAAGGATGACCTTGATGGGTTGAACAAGCTTTTGTTACTTTATCCTCTTTTCTTTGTTACACTTAATTAAACACATGAAATTTTCTGACAGATACATCTAGCTCAAATCACATAAACTAGGCATCATTTCAGTAATAGCCTAATTATAATAAACCTCTTTCCAGAAAAGTGCATCAACAATTTCCAGTTTTATACAAAAATCAATAATCTTCCTATTCAAATAATCATTTCTAAGTACCAGTATCTAGTTAACTAACTCTAGTCATTACACTCTCTCTACATTCTGGTCAATTATTAATTACATTTCAAGTGACAATGCAAGTCAAAACAAGTTCTGATTGGTAAAGAAAATAAAACAATTATCCTTTGTTCAAAAAAACATAGAACTGCAAATAGAATCTTAAGTATAACAGTCACATTTTGTATGCAGCCTCAAACAGCATTTTGAGTCTCTCTCTGTATCATAATTAAAACTAAAATTGCCTAATTCATTTGGAGTAGTCAGCAGTTTTTATACCACACAGAACATCTGTGCATTTCAATACTGAACATTCGAGTAATTGACTAGTACAGTGTTCCTGAAACCATAATATGAAAAATTAAAACAAAAAGTTAGTAGCAATTATTGCTAGCCATCTGCCTTTCCTCTAGTCAGCAGTTTAAAACTAGTGACAATGGCAGATAATTTTAGTAGTTTCTTCTTGTCTATTTTGAAAGTTCAGTAAAAGGTTTACAGTCTCTTGAATAACATAATTTGCTGTGGCTAGAGGTGTACAATTAGTAGTATTTGCTAACTGATTAAACAACACTCTTTACAACCCTTCCTCCCTTACAGAGCAAGAAAAACAAAACAGATGTGTGCTGCCTTCATAACATTTTCAACCACTGCATTATTCTAACATGGTATTATTAATCTTCTTATTTTCATTAAAAACGTTTTTTTTTAAAGTAATTTTCTAATTACCCTTGGTTTCATATCATAGAACTTTCCTACACGTTACCATTTGCAAAAACGTATTTTTTTCCCTAAAATATATTTTGCCACAATTTTTCTTTAAAGATAATCTGGACATTTTCCACTTGGTGAGTGAATCACTAACGTACACTAAATACCACCATTATGTTTGTTATTGAAATCTTAAAACGTGCAGTAATGCTACACCAATTTTCTATAAACAAAGTAAATGGATGGTTAAATAATGAAAACATGTTTTACAATCACTGAGAAATATAACAATGTTTTCAGTTAAAATATACCACAACTGCAATTAGAAATAATTAAGTAGCCAGTTAGCCAATTTATTTATATACGTTGTTTGAATACGATAAATATAAAGATAACATCCAATAAATATTCGAGACACCATGATATGTTTTAGTTGCCTACCATACACATTGAACAGTACACTTAACTTCTCTGATTTGATGATAATTTTATTTGGGGAGCATAATTAAACAAACCTTGTCCACAAACATTGCTACTCAATAAGACCATAGTATATCTAATAAAAGGTTAAAAGTACCAAAAGTTTAAACAAAGGACCAAATATACAAAAAGACACCCTTATTAATCCTTAAGCAAACTCCAGTTAATCGACTTCTTTATGAGAGCACAAAGTTTTCAGTGCAAACTGCAGAGTTGTATTCATTGTTAAAAAACATGACCCATTATTCAAGTTATCTAATTTCTTCTTACCGAATAAAATTTCTGGAGCATTCAAATAGATATAATTTAACACAAACTAAAGAATACAACAAAAAAACCTCATAAACCTATGTATTTATTCTATTACATGATAGTCTTCCTCTATCCAGTCATATTTCAACATTCTTTATAACTGTTTTCCAAGCTGATATGGCACTATAACAAGATTTCAACCAAAGCCTGTATAAAATCTAAGGAAAACATTAGAAAACCAAGATATTACAGACAATTCTTTGTTTCACATGTTTATAAGTGTGTTTACAACAATAATATGTTTAGGGACAACATGGGGCTTGTTGGTCCATCTCCGCTGTCCCATCCTCTAAACTAAGCTAAAACTATTAATAAATAAATTTTTTAAAATCTTAAAGCCTGCCCTTATTATTCATATACTTATCAAGCTTTTTCATAAACTCACTTACATTTATTGCCTCCATAACATGTGAAGGCAACCCATTTCAAAGGCCAACCACTCTGTTAGAAAAATGAAACTGTCTTAGTTCAAGATGACTCTTACCTTGCCAAAATATATATTTGTGTCCTACTATTCTCACTGTTAAGTACAAAAAAAGATGATATATCAACATTATCAATTCCCTTTACAAACTTAAACACTTCAATCAGATCCCCTTTAACTATTCTTTTTTCAAGAAAAAACATTTGAAAGATTCAATCTCTCCTCATACGACAACTCCTCCATCCCAGGCACCACTCTAGCAACCCTCCTCTGAACCCTTTCCAACAGTTCAGTGTCCTTCCTAAGGTAAGGAGCCCAAGACTGAACACAATACTACAAATGTGGCCTAATGGTCAAACCAGTGAGGTATATATTGGAATTATAACCTCTTTAGACTTGTATTCAATATTTCTGCAGATACAGCCTAAAATCCTATTTGCTCTACCACTAACAACAGCACACTACTTGTATCTGATCAACTATTGCACCCAGATCTCCTACTTTCATGATACTATTAAGGTTATTCCAAATTATACTTACAATTCAAATTATAACTCACATGCAATATCTTGCATTTGTTATAATTAAAACCCATTTGCCATATATCTGCCCAACTGAATAATTCCTTTTGTAAAGCAGCAGCATCCTCTTCACAGTTAGCAACACCCAAGACCTTAATATAATCAGCAATTTAAGTAATTTATTGACCATTCCTTCATCTATGTCATTAATG